ATGTTCTAGCGAGTAGTCCGTCACACCCTAGATTCGTGTTATAGCGAGTAGTCTATCACGCGCTAGACTTGCATTATTGCGAGTAGTCTGTCATGCGCTAGACTCGCATTATACCGAGTAGTCCGTCATGTGCTAGACTAGCGATATAGCGAGTAATCCGTCACGGGCTAGACTTGGTTATAGTGAGTAATCCGTCATGCCCCAGACTCGCGTTATAGCAAGTAGTCCGTCATATGGTAGACTGGCGTCATAGCGAGTAGTCCATCATATGATAGACTGGCGTTATAGCAAGTAATCCGCCATGCCCTAGAATCACATCATAGCAAGTCGTCCATCACGAGGTAGACTAGCGTCATAGCGAATAGTCGTAATTGTGCTAGATTTGGGTTATAGCTAGTAGTCCGTCACATGCAAGACTCTCGTTATATCAAGTAGTCCATCACGTGCCAGACTCGCGTTGTAGCGAGTAGTCCTTCACACCCTAGACTCGTGTTATAGCGAGTAGTTTGTCACATGGTAGACTTACGTTGTAGTGAGTAGTCCATCACGCGCTAGACTCGCGTTGGAGCAAGTCGTCCGTCACGCGCTGGACTCGCGTCATAGCGAGTAGTCCGTCACGTGCTAGACTTGCGTTATAGTGAGTAGTACATCACACGCTAGACTCGCATTATAGCGTGTAGTCCGTCACACGCTAGACTGGCTTTTTAGCGAGTAATCCGCCATGCCCTAGACTCGCGTTGTAGCGAGTAGTCCATCACCCTCTAGACTCGTGTTATAGCGAGTAGTCCGTCACATCCTAGACTTGTTTTATGCCGAGTAGTCCGTCACATGGTAGACTTACGTTGTAGTGAGTAGTCCATCACGCGCTAGACTTGTGTTATAGTGAGTAGTTCAACACGTGTTAACCTGGAGTTATAGCGAGTAATCCGTCACATGCTAGACTCGTGTTATAGTGAGTAGTCCTTTAGGGGCTAGACTGGCCTTAAAGGGAGTAATCCGTCAGGCTATCGACCCGCGTTATAGCGAGTAATCCGTTAACCCTGGATTCGTTTTATAGCGAGTAGACCATCACACGCTGGAATTGCTTCATAGTGAGTAGTCCGTCACTCGATAGACTTGCGTTATAGTAAGTAGTCCGTCACATGCTAGACTGGAGTTATAGCGAGTAGTCTGTCACACGCTAGAATCGAGTTATAGCGAGTAATCCGACATGCCCTAGACTCACGTTATACCGAGTAGTCCGTCACACCCTAGATTCATGTTATTGTGAGTAGTCCCATCACATGGTAGACTATGTTATAGTGAGTAATCCGTCACGCACTAGATTAATGTTCTAGCGAGTAGTCCGTCACACCCTAGATTCGTGTTATAGCGAGTAGTCTATCACGCGCTAGACTTGCATTATTGCGAGTAGTCTGTCATGCGCTAGACTCGCATTATACCGAGTAGTCCGTCATGTGCTAGACTAGCGATATAGCGAGTAATCCGTCACGGGCTAGACTTGGTTATAGTGAGTAATCCGTCATGCCCCAGACTCGCGTTATAGCAAGTAGTCCGTCATATGGTAGACTGGCGTCATAGCGAGTAGTCCATCATATGATAGACTGGCGTTATAGCAAGTAATCCGCCATGCCCTAGAATCACATCATAGCAAGTCGTCCATCACGAGGTAGACTCGCGTCATAGCGAATAGTCGTAATTGTGCTAGATTCGGGTTATAGCTAGTAGTCCGTCACATGCAAGACTCTCGTTATATCAAGTAGTCCATCACGTGCCAGACTCGCGTTGTAGCGAGTAGTCCTTCACACCCTAGACTCGTGTTATAGCGAGTAGTTTGTCACATGGTAGACTTACGTTGTAGTGAGTAGTCCATCACGCGCTAGACTCGCGTTGGAGCAAGTCGTCCGTCACGCGCTGGACTCGCGTCATAGCGAGTAGTCCGTCACGTGCTAGACTTGCGTTATAGTGAGTAGTACATCACACGCTAGACTCGCATTATAGCGTGTAGTCCGTCACATGGTAGACTTACATTATAGTGATTAGACCGTCATGCACTAGACTGGCGTTATAGCGAGTAGTCCATCATGCGCTAAACTTGCGTTAGAGCAAGTAGACCGTCACACACTAGACTTGCGCTATAGCGAGTAGTCTGTCATGCCCCAGACTGACATTATAGCAAGTAGTCCGTCATGTGCTAGACTTGCGTTATAGCGAGTAGTCCGTCACACGCTAGACTCACGTTATAACGAGTAGTCCATCACGTGCTAGACTCGCGCTATAGCGAGTAGTCTGTTACACTCTAGACTCGAGTTATAGCAAGCAGTCCGTCACGCGCTAGACTTGCGTTAGCGCGAGTAATCCGTCACACCCGAGACTTGGTTATAGTGAGTAATCTGTCACGCCCCAGACTAATTTTATAGCGAGTAATCCGACATGCCTTAGATTCGTGTTATAGCAAGTAGACCATCACACGCTAGACTTGCGCTATAGCGAGTAGTCTGTCATGTGCTAAACTTGCGTTATATTGAGTAGTCCATTACACGCTAGACTCGCGTTATAGCGAGTAGTCCTTCACGCGCTAGACTGGCAATATAGCCAGTAGTCAGTTCCGCCCTAGAATCGCGGAAAATAAAAACACCGTTAAAGCGAAACTACGTCATGTAAACGCCATGAAATAAACTGGGGTTCACTGTATATGCATTGCACATACATGATTGTTGTTTCATGCTTGGTAACCCATGATAGCCATACACATACCTTTTGCGCGTGGAGCTCATTCCTCGTGCTGTGGAGATTATATCGGGGTGAGACTAGGCGTGTCCTTGTGTGAACACGGCTGGCAAGGTCACACACACACATATAGAGACTTTTCACTCTCACGAAGGGGCCCAGACATTCCGGCATTGTTGGAGCGTAAAATAAACGCGTGTCTTGAACTGAGCAACGTCATTAAAAGAGCTTCAAAAAAGAGACAATGTTGGGACGGAATCCCAAAGTGGAGCGGTGTGAGAGGGAAGACAGAAAGATAAGTGATGTGACCTTCAGTGTGGTAGGTGGGTGGGTGAGTGGATGAGTGAGTTGGTTAGTGAGTAGGAAAGTGAGTGGGTGGGTGAGTGAGTGGTTGAGTGAGTGGGTGAGTCGGTGAGTGAGTGGGTGAGTGGATGAGCGAATGGATGGCTGAGTAGGTGAGTGGGTGGGTGGGTGAGTGGGTGGATGGGTGAGTACGTGGTTCAGTCAGTTTAACACGTAGGCTTTCGCGACCAATGTTATTCATAATCAACGTTTTTGGGTTTAGATCGCGTTATTTATAAATGTGTCGTAACCCTCCACCACCCGACACGGCCAATCAGTAAAAAAGTGTCACGTTGACAAAAGACAAATAGTTCACTGCTTTAGCCCACCGGTGTGTTGAAGCCACAACATTTACAATTTGAGTACGACGTTTCGCTGGTAATTGCATCCAGCATCATCGGGCAATTCGCCAGAATGGTGAGGCTCTGCTGTGTCTCCCTCTATATAAGAACGGGAGACACAGCAGAGCCTCACCATTCTGGCGAATTGCCCGATGATGCTGGATGCAATTACCAGCGAAACGTCGTACTCAAATTGTAAATGTTGTGGCTTCAACACACCGGTGGGCTAAAGCAGTGAACTATTTGTCTTTTGTCAACGTGACACTTTTTTACTGATTGGCCGTGTCGGGTGGTGGAGGGTTACGACACATTTATAAATAACGCGATCTAAACCCAAAAACGTGGTTGAGGGGTTGAGTGAGTGGGTGAATCGGTGAGTGAGTGAGTGGGTGAGTGGATGAGCGAGTGGATGGCTAAGTGGGTGAGCGAGTGAATGAGTGAGTGGGTCAGTGAATGTGTTGTTGAACATAGCACGGGTGAGACGTAACAACAATATACGTACACACTTATTAACGCGCACGATCATTCCCAGAGGCGCCAAGCCAGGCTCGCTCGAGGACCGCGCGAGAGGGTGGTGTGGGGGTCTTTCAGCGACTCCTCGGGGTCGCCCGTGGAGTAGACGCGACTGCCAACGTGCAACGAGATGGCGGTGGCCGTGGGTTCCGGATAGCGGGGGCTCCCACGGAAACACGACGCACCGCGCGGTTGACAGAGCGACCGTCATTGTCCCATAGACTGAGTCCCCCCCCCCCCCCACACGCGGATGGGAGGAATAATCGAGTGACGTTTACGGCAACAGTAGCCCGTGGTAGGCATAGTAGCGACAGAAGAGCGACAAGGAGGTGTCTGACCGTCGACGGTGAGCGAGCGAGTGAATAAGCGAGTGACGGATCATCGGCAATCATCCTGACTGCTGCTGCTTCTCAACTGGTGCAGCAGTCAGCTGCATTCCCCGAGATGTGACAGCAGCAACCGCAGCCGGATTCCCGCTGAATGCGCTAGAGGCTCGAGCGTAATGCGGAGTGAAGTCTGCGTGAGTGGCCGTTGTAGAGAGCTCGCTGCTGACAGTCGACGCTTTTTTGTGGAATTTCCGAGTTCCCCGAGAGAGAGAGGGGGGGGAGACACGGTGAGAGGGAGACAGAGACACGGAGAGTTAGACAAGACACGGGGTAGAGACACAAAGAGGCGCAGACTGAACTTGTGCGTACAGCGACACAGAGAGTCACGGGGAGAGTCACTGAGAGCGTCATGGAGAGAGGCACGGTGAGAGTAATGGAGAGAGACACCGAGAGTAGAGAGGCAAGGGGACGCGAATACAAACACCATATTGGCCTCCACCAGCCCCCAGGTACAACGCGGGGGCTCTGACACGCCCCCCCCCCCACCCCCCTGGCCTGGCAGGTGGCGCTCCGGGAGGTCGCGGCTCAGCCACTTCACACTCGGCCCTGGCGCCGCTGCCACAGGAGTGAGAGCCGCGACTCGAGGAGCCCAGGGCAAGCCGGAGAGCCATCACATCCTGGGCTCGAACTCCGCTTCTCGCAACCCCTCTGGGTGTACAGGCGCAGGCAGCGCTCGCTCGCTCCTCACCTGAGCAGCGGGCGGGTGGGGGGGGGGTCCGGCGCTTGGAGATGAAACTCCACGGAGCTCACGAGCGGTGACGATTTCGGGCCCCTGGCGCTGGCCCTGAGTGGCGCGACGCTGCTGCGGGGGCTGCGTGCGGTGGCGGTGGTGACGACGGGGAGAGGAGGGCGAGGAGGCGGTCAGGGGGAGGAGGAGGAGGGGAGGAGGAGGTAGGGGAGAAGGAGGAGGGAAGGAGGTAGGGGAGGAGGAGGATGCTGCTGCGTAGAGCGAGAAGAGGGTGGCAGAGCTGCCACCTCGGTGTGCGTCGGACGTATTCTCATCAACGCCACTGAGTGGATTCCTGCCGCTGCAGGAATGCGCGGCATTCGGGATATGTGGAGGGAGGGCCGGAGGGCGGGAGGGAGCGAGCTGGTATAAGCAGCCGTCTCCGCCTGCGTGGCTGACCTCGCAAATGCCGCATCGCAGCTCCGAGTTGAATCAACAGCGCCGCGTGACGCGGGTGGCCGGCGTCTCTCTCTCTCGCTCCCTGGCAGCGCATCGGCACAGAGACAAAGACCCACCCCCGCCGTGTCGCCTTTAAGAGACTGTTATGGTAAGCGCTGTGTTAGCGGCACCTATGACAACCGACACGGAGCACAACAGCGGGTGAGGGGGGGGGGGACCCCACGTCCGACCGCCTTTGTCTCCCCAGTGCTGATGTTTACTCATGGACTACACTGCACCAGGCGCTCGCTTTTAAGGCGGAGTCGACCTATGGGAGGGAAGGCAGGCGGCCGCAAGACCGGATCAGACATTCCTCACCCTGAGCGCGAATAGAACTCGAATATCGGCATTTTGTAGCGCAGTGCGTGCACTAAACGCTGCGCCACCACTCCCCCCCTCCCACTGTGTGCGCGTTAACGCAGCGCGCACAGACCCCGAACGGGACTCGGCACACGCGGGGCGCCTTCTCGCTTCCCCGTCTGTTCTCTTCCCGGGAGGTGGTAACGCTCATTTTTGTTGTTAAATCCTTTATATTAAGTTCGCTTGCTTGCTTGCGTGCTTGCTTGCTTACGACCGTGTAAATCTTTCGGTCGTTTTTTAACCCACTTCCCATGATCCAATCGAGTTGACATTTTCCACACAGACTCGTTGTGCGTGACAATTAATGTTCGTGAAATTTTTTTTCCAAAATTTTACACTTTATAGGACAAAAATATTATATTTAATTACCAATTGTTTAATACTGCAGACAATCATCTGACCCATAGGTGGCAGCCATCTCAAGCCAGAGGACGAGAGGACTCAAGCCGCCACGCATATAAAGGATTTAGAGTGAAAAACTTTGTTTTTACGGGTTTGCTTATTTTCCCCCTTGACTATTGCCGCAGATGGTGGCGGATGGGATCGCCGTAGGGAAAAGATAACTAAACTAAACACGTGTGGTTTTTATTTACCAGGTAAGACCCCGCTGAGCTGTACAGCTCGTATTTCAGAAGCGACCACGCTATCACAAATGATAGGTCAACGAAGTGGCTTATCATCACGTAGAAATGTATAGCAACCGAATACTCTAAACGCTCACGGCCAACACCAGTGACGATTATCTGAACCGGTGCTGGGCCTCCTTTAGATCGACTCAGCCTCAAACGAGTACTTGATAAGGTGTGTAAACATCGTCACTTAGGAGACAAAGGCGACCGGGCGTGGTGCTGGCCACCTACCCCATCGTGTGCGGTGTTGGCCTTCATAGGTTCTCGCTAACAGCACTTGCCTCAATAGTCCGTTAAGGCTATCCGGGGATATTTGTGGTTGAGTGTGATGGGTGAGTGTGATGGGTTAGTGTGGATCCATGTGAAAGATCTGGACAAAGTCCCATCGGTGAGCTCCTCCGGCAGGCAAGGCTGCGTTGGTTGGGTCGTGTAGCCCACATGCCCAGCCACCGCATGCCTAAACAGCTTTTGTTCGGCCGGATCGAGGGGGCTAAACGGGCGCGGCACGGGAATAGAGAAGAGATGGAGTGATGTGGTACAAGAGGATGTGGAGCTGAGTGGACTTGCCGATGACTGGTACCAGCGGTGTCAAGATCGGCCTCTGTGCAGGCTCGTGAAGGACGCTGCTACTGGGCAGTTGGAGGCAGTCGCCCTACAGCAACAACGGAGGGCGGAGGAGCGACGCTCACAACAATGAGCGGAGCAAGTTGGCACAGTAGGAGGCACCGGTGGTGCATTGGTCAGTCATCTCAGTCAGTCGACCCGTGGCACCTGCGTCTGCCCCTGACCTGCCAGCGGACGTTCGACACTTCACGTGGCCTCAACGTGCACATAGCCTGCCACAAGCGCCGTGGTGACGTCACCGCCACTTAGTGGCGAATGGCGGTTGTTGTTGGTGCATTGTCTCCGTGTTGCTCTGTGCGTCTTGTTGCTATGCCTGTCTCTCTGTGTCACTTCCTATTGCCCATTTCTTTGTGTCCCGATGTATATAGCTCCTTGTCTGTATGTTTGTCTCATTGTCTCTGTCTGTATTTAACGACAGCTGTATACGTATCTTAGTCTCTCTGTGCTCTCGGCGTCAGTCTCCTTGTCTCTGTGAATGTTGAGTCGGCTCCATCTGAATAGCACCCCACTCGCTCCTCACCATTCTCGTCTGACCCTCATGCCCCCTTGCAGATGTTCGCCGATCTAATCCTGGTTAATACTGCAGGTGCACCGTAATAATACTATAAACTACAAAACACATTTTTTTTCTTTTACCAGGTAAGGCCCACTGAGCTATATAGCTATTTTTCAGAACCGACCTGCCCACAAATAATAGCTCAACGAAGTAGCGTATAATCATGTGGAAATGAATAGCAGCCAAATACTCTCAACGTTTGTTTATAAATGTGGAGGGAAAACCAGAGGACCCAGAGAAAAATCCACGCGGCCGCGGGGAGAGAGGCATGCAAATTCCAAATACACATGTGTCAGGGTCGGGATCGAACCCACGACCTCATGTATACCAGGCTAGGTGTTAACATCTCGCCAACGTAGCGCGCCGTCTGCCACTGTGTGCCATCCTCACACGGTCCAAATTTGCCAAACCCTAAAACTTACACCGCAAATTACTCAACCGAGACTCCACAGAATGTAGCAGACTCGTGCCCCCAGGACACCCATTGCAAACGAGGCTCTTCTTACCCTGTGCCTCTCTGAGTCCTCACCCTGGTTACATGGCGTCGACTGGGGAACCTGAATCCTCCCTCCGTGCCACGCTGCCCCCGCAAACCACACGCGTTGCGATCCTCTGCGATCGCTATCGTCGCGCTTCTCATTGCCCATGCTACCCAGGGAAAGCCTCACCGAGTCTCAATTCTCTTTCTTTTTCAAGAGATTGCTGCCAAGCCGACTTGGCCGAGGGAGGCGATGTTGCTGATGCTGCGCGTAATCCCAATTGAGTAATTTGCAGTGCCATTTTTCAGCATTGGGATGGTTTTTGACCAATGCCAGTTCCACTATACGTGCCGTGTGTTAGTTTAGCTACGGGCGGAAACCGGAAACCCCTCAAGAAATACATGCAAAACAGGGGGAGAAAAGACAAACTCCGCAAAGAAAGGCGCCCGCGTCGGAAGTGGAACCCAGGCTCTGCTTGCTGCTGTGAGGCGCAGGTGTCACCACCGTGTAGTCTCAGGTCACCGACCCTGCCTTTATTTTGTGTTTAGTTCGTTGTCCTTCCTCCGCACCTCCGATTATCTACATACGGTGCGAAAGAAGTTCAACGTACAACAACAACCGCTATTCGCCACTAAGTGGCGGTGATGTCACCACGACGTTTGTGCCAGGTTATGTGCACCTTGAGGCCACGTGAAGTGTTGAATGCCCGCTGGCAGGAGGTCACGGGGCAGACCCAGATGCCACGGGTCGACTGACTAAGACGACTGGCTGATGCACCACCTGTGCCCCCTACTGTGCCAACTTACTGTGCTTTAGCCACCCGGCGCTCAGCTCGTTGTTGTGAGCGTCGCTCCTCCGCCCTTCGTTGTTGTTGGAGGGCGACTGTCTCCAACTGCCCAGTAGCGTCCTTCACGAGCCTCCTTCACAGAGGCCGATCTTGACACCGATGGTACCAGTCATTGGCAAGTCCACTCAGCTCCACGTCCTCCTGTACCACATCACTCCATCTCTTCTCTAGCCCGTGCCCCGCCCGTTTAGCCCCCTCGATCCTTCGATCCAGCCGAACAAAATCTGTTTAGGCATGCGGTATATGAGCATGCAGGCTACATGACCCAGCCAACGCTGCCTTGCCGGCCGGAGGAGCTCACCGATGGAACTTTGTCCACATCTTTCATACACACTGCCACACTCGCGTATGTCGGGTCAAGTGCATCGTTGCCACCAATCGCGGTGCGTAAACACACACACACACAACAACACATCTCACAATGAATGACGAAGGAGAAATGTATTTTCTTAAAAATATAAAATAGAATTATGTTGCGTTTGGAGTCACTGCAATGTGTAGGAACATGTAAAACTACGGCATCATCAGACTCTTGAGAGTTAAACACGCAACTGATCGCGCTGCGTCTCCCCGTGGAGCTGCTTGTGTGCATGGGACAGGCGCTGTCTGTGGAACAAGCGCTGGAGGAACTGTCCAACTTGCAACGTCAATCTGGGTTCAAATCTTTTTCACAAATCACTCAACAAGGCAATCATCGCCCCCTACTGGCAGTAGCCGCCAAACACGCGCTTTGCAAATTAGACGATCAGCAAGGGTCGGCAACCTGCGGCTCCGAAGCTGCATGCATAATGCATGTACGTAATGTATGTACGCAATGTATGTATGAAATGTACATATTCACGTGCATTGCGGCTCTTGAAGTATGGAGGGGTTTTTTTTACGATTTAAAAAAAAATTCAGTTCTTGTTATTTTGGTTTCCGACCCCTGGTCTCTCTGCTAGCCTACCCGGGTTCTCCCTTAGCTCGACAAAATCAAAGCGACACTTGGACCGATTTCCTGACAGCCTCTGAATGGATTTGTAGTGAGTCGGTGCTGCTTCTCTCTGCACTTCTTTCGCGATTCTAGCGCCTCTCTTACAGTGACCGTGGCGATGCCCCGAGCCGGTGGTGGTGATAATTCCACGTTCCTATATCATGGACGAAGCACTCAAAATACCTCCCTCGTTTGATCGACCCCGAAGGGATTGAATGGCTTAGTGTCACCCATACCGGGATCCGAACATGGAGACTCCAACTGGAAGCCTGGCCCTCTATTCACTCCACCAGAGGGCACCGCCATATTAGTGTTATAGTATTTACTACACATGATGTATGACATGCTATTTGTTGCCATGTTTGAGTATATTATATATGTTCGGTATTAAACTGCTTGTCTCTCTACTCAATCGACACGACATTTAAATGCCGCATATTTATAGTATATATTGATAAGTGAACGTGTTGAATGCCTGTTAATGTAATATGTATGTTCAACTTCTTTCGCACCGTACGTCGCCAACCGTGCCAA